GGTACTTCGTGCAATGGAGGAATAGTCTTACAGATTCTGTTGGGTCTCAATAATAAAATGTCCGTTCCCCTCCTGGTTTTTTGCCCCGGAAAAGGTTCCAGATGCTGACCTCAAATACTGGCCCTGCCGGCGCTTTCCCGACCCAGATATCTTGCGATTTCTTGCTGTTTTGGAAAATTTCCAGCGCCGGCTCTCGACTTTGCGAACTAATTAGGAATTAGGCCAAGAGCCCATACTAGCTGGAATTCGAGGGCTGGAATTCAAAAAGCCTAAAGGGCTTAGGGTTCCCGGCTCAATGTTTAGGACCTAGGAATCAGGTTTTTAGACAATCGTCCCCACATGGGAGTTTGCCTACATTGGTGTCCCCCAAATGGACGTTCTTGATTGCAATCGAAAACCAGGCGAAACAACAAATCACTGCAGGGAACTCCCCACAAGCTTTCTTAAGCTATGTCCTGGTTTCATCTTCCTAGGCCCTCCTCCTACCCTTTATAAGGGCCTAAGTACCTACTATTAGGGACCATATACCCCCAATTAAGGGCACGAGGAGGGTCCTGGTTGGGGATATATTACATCTCAAATTTTCGGGGCCAGACAAGAGAGGATTCCGCAGAAAAGGACGTCAGAGTTTAGGCTTGAGGATTAAAGGGGGTTTAGGGTTTAGGGGTTTATTCGGCAACTCTCCTTGTGTAGCGGCTCAACCTGCGTGTACCTCAAACACTAGAAGCAGTAGGAGAGAAGTACAACTCTTGCAAACAGCTCTTCTACTGCAGATGCCTGAATAGTGGGGAAGGGAAACTTCTGACAACGCTTATGGTACTGTGGTAGAATATGCCCCAGAAAATATTTCCAGAACACGGCTCACTCACTCCTAAATCAAACATATACGTGTGAAATCTCTGAATAGCCTTGTACAGCTTGTCTTCCCAGAACTCAGACCCAAAAACTTGAAACCCCCCGGATTTTCTCTCGGTTGGTCTTTGCAGCTCATTGAAAAGGATCAGCACACAAGGTCCGTGTGAAATCGAAACGGGAAAATACCTGGGGACTGCATAAACAGGTATACGAGTACCCTAAGTATCCTCACTGTAGATAACCCCAGCAAACAGGTTCCCCTAAATTTGGGAAACCCCGAACCACGAGCAATCCCTGAGCCCAAACCCTAAACCCTAAACCAACTCTATCTATATCTGTATATATATATATGTATGTATACATATACACATGCAGCCACTACATAGCCCCGCTACAACTCCTACAAAGCCTCTGACATCTCACAGGCCTAGGGCTTAGGATTCCCTAGAACTGGGTTTAGGGTTTAAGGGTTTAGGGCTCAATGCCGAGGATTCCCTGAAACCGAAGCCTTCTCTGTACTTGGACAGGTTGTCTAGCTCCACACCTGTGACAAGCTGCAATTTGAGTAGTGCAATAAAGGCCCCCTAAAGCTTTGAAGAGGTTCTGGGGGCTATATAGGGATATATACCACATATACATATATGTATATGTCCAGAATGTGCGGATATGGGTTTTAGGATCCTTTGAAGTTATGCTTCAGAGTCCAATCTCAGGGTTTGGAGTTTTAGGGCCCTAAACCCTAAACCCTGAACCAGTTAAACCCGAAACCCCAAACCAAAAAACCCATAAACCCTAAACTCTAAATCCTAAGTTTAGGGTTGGGGGCTTCGAGTTTCGGGATGCTTTGGGGCTTCAGAGGATGGATTTTCGAGTTAAACCATGAACCCTAAACTGAGTTCAAAGTTTAGCGTTTTTGGTTCGGGGTGTAGGGGTTTAGGGTTTAGGGGCTTAGGATTTAGAGTTTAAAGTCGAGCCAGGTAGCTGCCTCGTAGCGTGGCCCCAAAAATCCGGCCGATACCCATTGGAGCATGGGGATAGTTACCAACCCCCTTTAGAGTAATCCCCTCATCCCGCAGGTCTAGAATACCTCTCTATTGGGCCTAAGTACCTACTATGAGGGGCCATATATCCAAGGGCACAAGGAGGGTCCTGGTATACTGTAGGGTTTGGGATTTAGGGTTTAGGGTTAGTAGGTCCCTGAAGGGGCGGGGCTAAAGGTAGGGGATGTTGTTGTTGGGTGGTCGAACCAAGTAAGATAGGATCCTTCGTACAAGCTACTATGCCAAAAAGAGGGTATAAACTTAAACCCTAAACCCTAAACCCTTACTCTATACTGGCTACCCGTTACAACACTACTTCCTCAACCAGAGGTCCGTTCGAACTCTACACCCGAAGTACAGGTTTTGGACCGTTGGGTATAGCTTGGGCACTGCCCCCAACCCAGTAGCCGCCCATAGTAAGGTTGCTTCTTAATGCTTTCCACCTACATATCATCCTACTTGTACTGAGGGGGGGGGGCAGTATCCATGAAATCCTAGACCCTAAAGACTGTAAGGAAGCTGGAAACCCTATTTGTGGGAAGACCCATTCTCCCGAGACACGCCTAAAAAGCTTGGATCCTTGGGCGAACTAACTAAAGGCTCTATTGCGTGAGCTACAGTCATTCCGACATAAGTCAACGGACATGGGTTCCTTTTAGGGAAGATGTTAAGGGCCATACTGAAAAAAATTAGGACCGCTATGTCCGCTATTGAAGGTCCCTGAATATCACTCATGGTATTGACACTAGCTCACATGGTTTAGGGGTCCAAACCCAAGTGTCCAAACCTTAAAAGTACAAAGGACGCCTCCCTGATAGTGTTGGGAAGATGCAGGCAGGAGGGGAGGAGGGCTCCCTCTATCCTACCCCCACTAGGTTGCCCCCTAAATTGAGGTGATCTAAGGATAATTAGGCCTAATTAAGGCTAATTGAGAGGGTACCTAGGGGGCGGGGGTAGTATAGAGGGGGATAATAGGGGAACCCCTGAAATTTGGCATGTGCTGTGCACTTCAGAAAACGGAACGACCTTTGCCCTACACGGCTACGGTCCCTCAAAGAGGTCGTAAGCGGGGTCCAAGTTTGCTTAGGGAGGTTAAAAGGTTTCGGGTTCAGGGTTTAGGGGTTGGGTTTAGGTTAACACTCACCCCAACTGCTAGCCATGGGCATACGACGCAAACTTGAAGAAAATAATGATGGTACCGGGTACCGTACTTGGAGGTTCGTTCAAGGTACTTATAACCTACTTGTAACTGTACTTACAACCCCCTCGATCCCCTAACATGACTACCAGACGGTTAAAACTGCACTTATAACCGAGCTGGAACTAACCCCTGAAACTTAAACTCCTAAACTCCTAATCTCCTAAACCCTAAACCCTAAACCCTGAACCCCTAAACCCTAAACTTTTCAACCCTAAACTCCTAACCCCCTGAACCCTAAACCCTAAGGCTTCAAGTGCTAGAATTGGTGCAAAGCTAGACTAAGGCAGATGGACGAGATCTCTTCATGGGTAGGCTTACCTCCATCCAAGAATCTAAGGCTATAGCTGAGATGATAAGCTTCCTTAGGGTTTAGGCCTACCTCCATGAATTATGAAGGCTATAGCTTAGATGATAGGGTTCCTTAGGGTTGTGGGATTAAGGATTTAGGGTTTAGGGTAGGCTTCCTTAGGGTTTGTGGGATTAAGGATTTAGGGTTTAAGGTTTAGGGTTTAGACGTAATTCAGCATATACTTCTTGATTCACGAGTGTTGAATTCCCTGGTTTCTTGTCCCTCTGGCAACCTGCACCAGCCCCGTTCTCAACAGCACCCACAAATCGTGTGTACCACCCGTTCTGAGATGGAGTCCGTGAGTGTCCCGCTTGTTCAACAAAAAGGGTTTAGGGTTTAGGGAACCCTAAACCCTACCACCTACATCCAAATCCCGCAGCCATAAGCTGTGCGAGACTGCAAGATAAGACATAAGCTCTAGAAGGTAAACTCTACACCCTTAAATCACCAGAAAACCCCAACCGCCTAAACCCCAAAGGATAGATCCTGAACCCTAAACCCTAGATCCCGAACCTTCAATCCCAACACTACATCAACCCTAAGCCCTTCACCTAACACCCTAAATCTAAACCCTAAACCCTTAAAGCAAACCAATGCCTAAACCCTGAAACCCTGAAACCCCAAACCCTGAAACCCTAAACCCTAAACCCCAAGCCCTTCACCCAAGCTGCACCCCTTTGCCTGCCTGTCCGGGAGCCCTGGGCTTGCCCCGGACTTCGCCCCGCATTTTCTGCCTGAGAATGTAGTTTAGGGTTTGGGGTTTGGGGTTTAGGGTTTAGGGTTCAGGGTTTAGGGTTGCCTGGAGAAACTCGCTGAACCCTAAATCCCAAACCCTAGTCGAAGGCTATAAGCTTGCTTGAAAGCGTGGTGCAAGCCAGGAAAAATGCAGAAGCTTCCCGCCGAGTGCCGTGATATACTTATGCTGGGTAGCTGTTAAGGAACTTAAGCTGAGTTACCATACTTGGTACATATAGTCATTAATAGGGCTTCCCAATATAGTAACTTAAATGAAGTTTCTTGTCTAACCTCCTAATATCCCCCTGAAGAAGCCCTGTAATACTCCCATATATGATCCCTATATAATCCCCTACTAGTTTAGGCCCTAGACCCTAAACCTTAAATAATCCCCTAAATGACCCCCTTTAAGGAGCTTAGACTATGGCTCATATAGCCCTTATCCCTATAAACTACTCAATCTCCCAGTTTCCATTTCACTTGTCAATTTCCTTTCCATTTGCTTATTATTGGGGGTAACATCCCTAAACCCTAAACCACTAAACCCTTAACCCTAACCCCTAAACCCATCTAATCCCCTTGTTTGCATGATGTAACAGCACTCACAAACCCTGGACCTTCACGGGGCATCCTCCCGCTGGCCCCAAGGCTGAATCCTTAAACCCCAGACCCTAAGATCCAAACCTGGGTTTGGGGTCTAGGGTTTACGATTTAGGACATAGGGCTTAGGACTTAGGGTTTAGGGTTTAGGATTTAGAGTTTAACCCAGAGACCCAGACCCTAAACTGACCCGTCAAAGTGCAAATGCAGGCTGAAATGCCACGCAGACATCCTTTTCGTTGGAAGAACCGCTGAGGTCCTGAAAATCAGGTCTTGCAGTGCGGTACTTGGGTTTAGGGTTTAGGATTTGGTGTTTGGGATTTAGAGTTTAATGTTTAGGGCTTGGGAATCTAGGATTTAAGGTTTTAGACTTAGGTTGTTCTTGAACAGCAAGTTAGGGTTGAGAGTTTAGGATTTAGGTATAACCCACTGATAACTGTACATAGTCATAGTAACCGAATCACAAACATATTAGGGCACTTAGGGAGATGACAGTTGGGATACGAGCTCTAAGCAGGTCGCAAGTAATTGCGCTGAACCTCGAAGCAAGTCTAGGCTGAAGCTCCGATCAAGGGGCTTCAGGGTTTAGAGTATCCATTTGCAGGGATGGGATGGGCTTTGATGTGCCATCCAAGGCGGCTAAAATCACGAGACCTACTTGGGACTGTCCATTCATAAGGGACCCACATAGAGACCGCAATAAGCTATGACCGTTCTTGTAAGCACTCCCAAGTGGGCCCCCTACCAATTTCCATCTCTCGGAGTTTGGAACCGTATCCACTTTCAAGGCTCCCACAGAGCGTCCAAAAGATGAAACACTATGTTATTCTGGACGTCGACGAATCACACGAATGGTTCCTGAGTTGTACCCCTGAGTTGGTACTCCTAGAAGGTTTTTTCAATATGAGCCATTGTCTAAACTGCTAGCATCCCCCTTAATAACCAACAATACTCCCCTGTATAATCCCCCATATAATCCCCTATATAACCTAAATAATCCCCTATATAACTCCCTTTAAAGAGTTGAGACCCTGGACCCTAAATCCAAAATAATCTCTTATATCGACCCCCTTTTACAAAAGTTTAGACTATAGCTCATATGGCCCAAAAATAGCCCCTATATGAACCAATGTGGTTTTGTAGGGTTCCTTGAAAAGGGGTCCCAAAACCCAGGGGTACTTAGGGTTTAGGGTATTAGGGTATTAGAGTTTAGGGTACAACCCTAGGCTAGGAGTACAAAGCCTTGGCACACTGCTAGTCAAAGGTTTGCCGTAATGATGGAGTGAAGAAAGTGGACTCAGGGCGGTGTGCACTGTGCTATGACTATCAAGGTTTAAGGTTTAGGGTACAGGTTAGATGAGGGGAAGTAAGGTTTAGGGTTTGAAGGGGGATTAGCTTCCTGCTTGTTCAGCTTCTACCTTAGAGGGAAGATTGGAAATCCCAAGCGCACCATCACAATCGCACTTTTTGCGGCAGGAACCGTGAACCCTAAACCCTAAATCCCAAAGCCCAAACCATGAACCCTGAGCAAACTATGGATCAAAGCCCGGGAGTCGTTGTAGCACATGAGCGGTTTAGGGTTTTCCCTGAACCCTAAACCCTAAACCCCTAAACCCTAAACCCTAAACCCTTTAGGGTTTGGGTTTGGGGCTCGGCCTTCCCCACGTGGCAGCAGACGACGTTACTGCAATGTAATTCAAGTGACGCGAGATGTCTATGTCAGAGCTTCCATCAAGGACCACATTTGGGTTTTTGGTTTAGGGTTTAGGGTTTAGGGTTTAGGGTTTAGCCGTAGGGGCTTAAATACTTGGAAGAGAGTTTGGGGGTCTGTTCTACTATAACCCTAAACCTTGGGTACTGCCCCCCCCTCAGTAACAGTTGGATAAGAATTATAATATGCTTATATATAGCCCTGAATAGGACCCCTAATATCGACTGTTACTGGGTGGGGGCAGTACCCAACCTAAACCCTAAACCCACATAGCGATATACGGATTGCAAGAATATTTTCTTAGTAACTGTTCAGGCCTCAACACTTCACATCCTAAGTATCCCTTGCACAGTCCGAATTTCCACGACAAATTTCCATTTGATTCCCCGTGAATGGCAATTATTTAGATTTCTGCCCTGAACACTTAACCCTCTGAACTGGTCAACATCCTAGACCCTAAATCCTAGATCAAATCCCTAAATCCATAAACTCATAAACCCTTAAACCCTAAACCCTTACCCTAAACCCTAACCTTAAACCCCTAAAACCTCAACACCTAACCCCTCAACCCTCAGCCCTTAACCCTCAATAGTAGTTTCCATTTTAATTCTCCATTATCCCAAAAGAACCCAAATATTATAACACCTATATAAACCCTAAGGATAACCCCCATATTAACCCTAAACCCTAAGCCCTAAACCCTAAACTCTGAAACCCTAAACCCTAGGTAGTAGCTTCCATTTCCTTTTTCCATAATTCCAATATAACCCATATATAACCCTATAGAATCCCTATATAGCCCCGTGTAATCCTATGAACATGAACCCCTAACCCCTAAATCCTGAACC